ATAATTAATCGTTGTTTGTCACCGCCATGTCTCAAATGATTCATCAAATTTCATATAATTAATCGTTGTTTTGATGAGATTTGATGAAACTAGATTAAAAACGGTCATATGAATTCAAAACATAAAGAGATTTGATGAATCATTTGAGACATGGTTGTGATGAACGGAAACACCATTCAAAGGTTATATAGTTGTTTCGATACAACAAAATGACGAATTTTTTCTAGTATAAACGGTTATTGTCATTATTATGTTTATGTTTTGGGACCCGGGTTCGAATTAATTAAGTTGTCTCTTTTTTTTTTCTTTTTTTTTGAAACAACGTCAACTTATCAAGAAACCAGTTCACCTCTGTAGAATACCGACATGTTGTTAGTCACAGGTATGTAAAATTCAGTTTTTATAAGTTCATGTACAAAATTCAAAAATCTTATTAGATCAGGTACAAATTCGCACAATGAAATAGTTTGGATATTGATCAGATAATATGACCATATTTCAGGTACTAAATTCAAAATATGTATTACATCAGATATAAATTGGCACAGTAAAATAGTTTGGGTATTGATCAGATAATATGATCATAGATTAGGTACTAATCGGCTGTTTTCCCCAGTACTGTATGTGGAATGAAATAATAACATAGTTCAAAGAATATCATTATTGAAAAGTTCTCATTTATAAATATTCATCAAAACATTGTCGATCATCTTAATTTATACATTTCAAATTAAAATCCATACCAAAACTGTAGTTCATTGAGACTTCAATCAACATATCAAGGTTTCAACTAATGTATTACGACATGTATAACCAACAAATCTTTTTAAACATATAATTAAAAGGGAAATTTGGGCATATAACCATTTCTTCAAAAAAAAAGAAGCAAATAGCCATAGTAACCTAATAGCTATGTTATGATACATAATATACCATTTATTCTCCATTTTACCCCTAGCTTGCGCGTGAAAGCAAACCGTCTCTTTCGTCCATTTTCCTAAACTGTAATTGTAATAGCTTATGTCGGTCACAAACTGAAAAACAAACGAGGGAAATCGAGGAGGCGTCAAAACTTCGGTGACCAAAGGAAGAAGAAATCGGAGTTCTATACCTCAACCGTGAAAAGAATAGTCGCCGTCACTTGGGCATCGAGAACACATCCCACCGATGTAAGGATTTAAGTTGGGAATAGTGTGATTACGACTCACAAGACAAGTATAACCATCATCTGATAGGTAAATTCCCAATTTGCCTTCAATAATAAGTTGATTTTATTTCCTCCGACCATATTACGTCAGTTGAGTTATAACCACAGTCCGGTCATTTGGGGATTTTTTTCCGGCGTTACCGTGTTTGAATCCGTCAACTAGAAGCTCTTATCAGAAATGTGAATCTTTTCCTTGATACATTGCGGTAGTCGGTGTCTGTCACGTTGGTAAGTTACTGTCTAATATTTGAAATACGCAGTATCTCGATTGTTACTTTTCTGACCAATTGATTTCAAAAGGATATGTATGTGTCTATATATATGTGTGTGTGTGTGTTATAGTATAGCACATCTAAATTGGGGTAGATAGACCTTTCTATTGGCAATTGAGTATAGTCATTCGGAGGTACCATGTATATCAGTTTATTTTTGGGTATACCGTTTCGCAAAGTTGTTGAGGTGTCTACATATATGTGTGCATAGTACAGAACTAGGAAGAAACAAGTGTAGTAGGGTGGTATGGAGGTAGCAAAAACTTTGGGATTTATGCCAAGCATACAGACTATACCATGGGGAAAATAGTATAGCCTTCACATATTTCCATGGATATACGTCTATAGAACTAGGAAGAAGTAATTGTAGTATGTAGGTACGTAGGTAAGAGATAGATGGCGGGTTGGTGTGTTATGGTCTACTATTTGAAAAATTAAGTGTCTCCAATGGTTGGTGTCCGAACAAAAGATTTTAAAATGTATTTAGTGGACTCTAGATATGTGTTCAGAGAATAGAAAGTTAGAGAATTGCTTTTGTTATTGGATGTATGTATTGTGTGGTCTCAGCTTCGCGGTGAAGAGGTTTGTCAGTAGGCTATATTTTTTCGTTTGTAGTATATAATCTTGTTGATTGGTATTCATTATTATTAACACGTTAATTGAATAGGAAAGGTATGTGGTTACCACAGTTAAATTGGATAACTTAGCGTACTTGTTTCGAGAAATAAACGTGCAAGCGTTGAAAGTTGTAAGGTTGAAAACGGGTTCTTAATGACCATACATAGACAATTCTATTGGGCATTGAGTATAGTATTTATGTTTATAAATCTTGGAAAATGTATGTCAGTAACGCATACTAAACCATGGGGAAAATAGTATAGTCTTCACTTATTAATGTATAGACGTCTATAGCTGTGAAAACTATTTTGCAAGTGGAAGTACCGAGAATTTTTTTTTCTATTACAGTCTGTGAGTTAACATTTGTCTATCCTTGTAGATTATAGAGGATTTTGGCTTAGCGGAATGCTTGTTTGAGATGGGGTTCGAACCAACCGGCCGAAAAAGAATAAACAACTACTTCAATTTGAGATGGGTGTAGGTTATAAAAGACGCTTAGTCTGATGCCTCGAAGGAGAAGCTTGCAGAGTCGCAGTTCAGACAAATTATGTCAATGGAGAAGCTTGTATTATTGTACTGTGTAGTACATATTTTGTAAGTTTGAATGTTCAAATACATCTCTTATAATGTATATGCTACTGTATTGAACTTCACCTTCGCGTGTATTGTACACCTGCAGTTTATACATCCTGTTTATTTTGCTTTACCATATTGTACTATCTGGTGCTGCACTGTTTTTCTCGTATACCCGCATTCGGTCCTACACTATTGCATGTGTAGTATAGTATATTATAGTACATTCTGCAACATTTATCATGTTGGCGATGGTTCTTGTCTACATCATGGGTTTACCACTTTGTGCGCACTATTGGAGTATCCGTATCATTTACGGAAGACTCCAATTCATTTCAACTTTCTAACTTGTTGCCGTACTGTCTTCACAGTTATGCAATGTTGTATTTACCGAAGTATCTAACCTGAACTTCATATTACTCTTTCATTACTTTACGATATAATCGCTTTGTACGAAACAATGAATCCCTCTCAGATTCTGTCAGTTCCTGGCCATGAACTCAGATGACACCCCACAAAATCTCTACAGTCTGTTATGAAATGGTCCTCTAATTTCTTGCTGATTTTGTTTACATTCCATTTTTTACAATACTATCGCGGTTATAGTATAGTCTTCTTCTATACTACATGCGGTTCCAACTTTTGTCACACGCTTGTATGCTATGTCTCATCTAAACAGTCTTCCAATTTTTTGCTGATTTTGTTTCATTCCATCTTGCACAATCCTATCACGTATATAGTATAGTATTTTTTTAACCCCATATATGCGGTTTCACTGTGCGTGTTTGGTGTAAGGGTTACCATATTTTGGCCCCTACCCAATTCTCTGTGTGTGAACATCATAGCATACGCTTATCCCTCATGTTTTTACGTGCCAATCTCGTCTTCCAAATATGCATTTCATATACTATACTATATTATTGATAGTAGACAATGTATAACCACCATCACTCAACATCAGCTGCTTTCCTTACCTTTCTTCCACTTACCCCCCAATATACACCTCGACTTGAATAATAAAACGTTTCTCACTTTCCTAGACTACAACCGTCATATTGTAGTCAATTATATTTCCTTGTACATTCACTTACTTAATAAACTCACAGTGTTATGGTTGTAATGTTTTACTCGCTCAACATGACGCGCCCGCGATTGCAAGGACAAAATCGCCCATAAGCGTGTGTAGTTGTCAAATCACCTGTTCGATGGCTATATTCTTTATTTCCCTTTCTCTTATGATTATTCAGCAAATTGCCCCTAATTAAAAACAAAATATCTTGTAATTGTAACACGTCACTGACGTCAGGTATAAAATAAACCTTTTAAATGCAAAAGAAAAAATGAATCTTCTAGATCTTCTACATGTGTGAATAGCACCACCGACAACTAACTCGCGTAACCTAATAGTTGGTTGAAACTTTCTGATTTTTAAATTGAAAACAACTATGATTATCCATCTGCTGAATCGGTAAATCATACGGAGTACTTTTTTGTCTTGTCAAAGACAGATCACTTTTTTTTTTTTACAAAAAGAAACCATAATTAGCGGCACTATATTACGAGTTTCTTGCTAATATTTGTCAACACTTATCTTCAAAAAATATTTGTCAACACTTGACCCTCTGTTTTGAACGTTAGAAATTTAGAATACTTTGTCTATTAATAGTATAAAAGAAAGCAAAGCATCAACTAAAATGTTTCCCTCCTAACTATTTTACCTTCAAAATCACAAATCCCATGTTATATATAATAAAAAAAAATATAGTTGATTAAGCTGCATCGAATTGTTTCAAGATTATGGCATGTACTCGTAATAGTGTAAGGTATTTACTACAATATATCTTTTTCATCAAATACTACACGATAAAATAAACATATAAAAAGCTTAAAAGTCATCCTGATCATTATACTCACCCACCATAATTTACTGTCTTCATAACATTACCGTCAAAATTCTTAGTTTGATGACACTTGGTTACTAAAATAAATTACAAATTGAATGGACTACTAAACATAGCTGTATGTAACAAATGAAACACAAATGAAGAAAGCACATGGAAAAGTGGATGACATGGGGGAGCACATAGGCGAAGCGGTGAGAAGAACACACTTGAGTAATTCACTTGAAACTATCTTACTAGTGCCAATTTAAGCAGTTTCTCTCACAAATTTGAATTTGTCTTCAACCATCCATCAATGTCCTAAAATTTTCCTATAGAGAATGACAAGTGTGTTGAAAGTTACAGGAGTGTGTAATAAAAAGGGAATGAATTTGCTTTGCATGCTTGAAGCCATCAAGCAAGTAAGACAGTAAGACAGATCTTGCAAGCTTCACATATACCTTTCTTCTTACTCTCATTTGCTTCTCTCTCTCTCTCAAAGTCAAGTAGTATTTAATCTTATCTCTATTTCCCTCTGAGTAATTCCACTCTCTCACCAACTTTTCTCTCTCCTCTGTCATTCTCTTCAAAAGGTCCAAACTTTAAATGAGCCCTGAGCTGGGTATGCTTCTTTGCCTAGTTTATAATAACAAAATCAAAATGGGTCTCTAAATCAAAAGGTATTTCTTCCATTACCTGTGCAAAGCTTGCTCCTTTCTTAAAGATTCACTCTCCATTTTGAGTTTCCCGAAATGGGTTTTGCTTAACTTTCCATTTAAAGATTTGGGTATGTGTTTAGGTAACCTTACCACATTAAGAAACTCAACCACTCTTCTCCTCTGTTTTTGGAAAGATCCTTAAAAGATGGCTCCAAGGTTGGATTTTTCAGACTGGTGGGCGAAAGAAACAAGGAAAGGAACACCAGTTGTTGTCAAAATGGAGAATCCAAACTACTCTGTAGTTGAAATAAAAGGACCAGACTCAGCCTTCAGACCAGTAGACAAGAACAGAGGCAAAAACGCAAAGCAAGTGACTTGGGTTCTGCTTCTCAAAGCTCATAGAGCCGTTGGATGTCTCACTTGGCTCGCAACTATCTTCTGCTCTCTCCTTGGCTCCATCAAGAAACGTCTTAGCTTCACTCACCCACTCGCCTCTGAGAGATTGGGAAGAGACAGGTGGCTTTTCTCAGCCATTAAGCTCTTCTTAGCTGTGTCCTTACTGATTCTAGGGTTTGAGATTGTTGCTTACTTCAGAGGATGGCATTACTTTGAAAACCCCACTAGCACACTTGAGATACAGAGCTTGTTGCATCTTGTCTATGTTGGTTGGTTAGGGTTTAGAGCTGATTATATTGCTCCACCAATCAAAGCTCTCTCCAAGCTTTGTATTGTTCTGTTCCTTATACAGTCACTAGACCGTTTGATTCTTTGCTTGGGATGTTTTTGGATCAAGCTTAAGAAGATTAAGCCTAGGTTTGATGAGGAACCTGATGATGCTGAGGGATGTGGTTATGTGTATCCAATGGTTCTTGTTCAGATCCCCATGTGCAATGAAAGAGAGGTTTGTTACCAATCTTTAACTCTCAAATGCAATGTTCAAAAAATCACTAGGCGGTGGTTAGGTTTAGTATTTTTTTATAGATGAATATTGTTTAGGTAGGCGCCCTAAACCGATTTTTTGAATGCCTAAACCAATTTAGAAATAAATTAATTTTAAAAATTAATTTTTAGAACACTGATCAAATGTAATGATCTTTGGTCTTGTTCTTGTTTCAGGTGTATGAACAATCTATATCTGCTGTGTGTCAACTTGACTGGCCAAAAGATAGAATCCTAGTTCAAGTTCTTGATGATTCCAACGACGAAAGCATCCAAAAGTTGATTAAAGCTGAGGTTGCTAAATGGAGCCAAAAGGGAGTCAACATAATCTACAGGCATCGTTTGGTTAGAACTGGATATAAAGCTGGTAACCTCAAGTCAGCTATGAGCTGTGATTACGTGGAAGCATACGAGTTTGTAGCTATATTTGATGCAGACTTCCAACCTAATCCAGACTTCCTTAAACTAACAGTTCCACATTTCAAGGTTGGTAACTAACATAAGTTTCCATAAGTGGAGAGAGGTTTCTAACTTGTTAATGATGTGATTATATCTTTCAGGATAAGCCAGAGTTAGGTTTGGTTCAAGCTAGGTGGACATTTGTGAACAAAGATGAGAATTTATTGACTCGTCTTCAGAACATTAATCTTTGTTTCCACTTTGAGGTTGAGCAGCAAGTGAGTGGTGTGTTCTTGAACTTCTTTGGTTTCAATGGAACAGCTGGAGTTTGGAGAATCAAAGCCCTTGAGGAATCTGGTGGCTGGCTTGAAAGAACAACTGTTGAGGATATGGATATAGCAGTCCGTGCTCATCTCCATGGATGGAAGTTCATTTATCTTAACCATGTCAAGGTACTAAGAGCATCTCAACCCATAACACTATTTTAATATTAAAATCGCACTATTTTAGTGTAGTTTCGACATAAAAATAAAATTTTCTCCAACCACAATACTAAAGTTAACACTAAAAACTATTTTATAATATTATTTGTAACTATATTTTTATTTGTGATTTATTTAATCGTATATCTTATTAATAAAATAAGTGAATAGTGTTTTTAGTGGGATAAATAGTGTAATTTGGTGTGAAATTATAGTGTTACACTAAAATGGTGTGATTTTTAGTCTTTGGATTGGAGAAAGTTTTGTGTCAAAATCACACTAAAATAGAGTTTTAATGTTGGGTTAGAGATGGCCTAACCATATATCTAAGGCCTATTCATGTAACCATTATATTAAAAGCTGAAGTGAAAAACCATTTACAGGTTCTCTGTGAAGTTCCTGAGTCATATGAAGCATATAAGAAGCAACAACACCGTTGGCATTCAGGACCTATGCAGCTTTTTCGCTTGTGTCTTGGTGCAATCTTGACCTCTAAGATAGCTATATGGAAGAAAGCGAATCTGATACTTTTATTTTTCCTTCTTAGGAAACTTATACTTCCTTTCTACTCTTTCACATTGTTCTGCATAATCCTTCCACTAACAATGTTTGTACCAGAAGCTGAGCTTCCTGTTTGGGTCATCTGCTACATACCTGTCTTCATGTCTTTCCTCAACCTTCTTCCATCTCCAAAATCTTTCCCTTTTATTGTTCCTTACCTCTTGTTTGAGAACACAATGTCTGTCACCAAATTCAACGCAATGGTGTCAGGGTTGTTCCAGTTAGGTAGCTCTTATGAGTGGGTTGTCACAAAGAAAGCTGGAAGATCATCAGAGTCTGATCTTTTATCTATCACCGAGAAAGAGACGCTAGACAAGAAGAGCCAGTTGCTTAGAGGGGTTTCAGATAGTGAGGTTCTGGAGATGAACCAACTTGAAGAACAGAAACAAAAGAAACCTGTCAAGAAAACCAACAAGATTTTCCACAAAGAGCTTGCATTAGCGTTTCTGTTGCTCACTGCAGCGGTTAGGAGTCTCTTAGCAGCTCAAGGAGTTCATTTCTACTTCTTGTTGTTCCAAGGTGTTACCTTTCTTCTAGTGGGTCTTGACCTTATAGGCGAACAGATGAGTTGAGAAAGCTTCTTTTGTAATGAGATTGTTGGAACCATAGTGGTAGGCGTTTAATTTATTTTTATGTTTGTTATGTTATGTTTGTATGATTCTCAATTGTTAGGGATAGAGTGTGAGACAGAGATTCATACATGTATACAAGGAAGAGACCATCTAAAGGGTTTGTGGATTCTCATCTTAGTAACCTCTCATCTTACTGTGGGTGAGAGTGAAGAAACGTGGAGCAACACAAAAGTGTCGGCAGACAAAAGTGGAATGATGTGTAAGTGAAGGATGGGACCGAACTAGGATCATGCTCTTGTCTCTTTTACTTTCCTATGCTTTCATTATTAGTTGTGGTCATGCCAAAACCATGTCCTCGTTTAGCTTTTGTCACGATATTTTTAGTCTTACATGTCCACTTATGCACTTGAAAACATGGCCAGGTGTTGTCTATGTTTGGGATCCACATTAACTTCAATAAAAGAGAACCGTTTATCATCAGAAATTCCAAACTAAAACATTATGTCAGTTTACTTAGTGAAGATACACAACTACGTACGCAAAATGCAATCTAAGTAGTACTTCGTCATCATCTCAGTGACACAGAGCATAAACTCTCTCAGCTCCGGCTTCGGCGTCTATCTTTCAGACCATTTCTGCAGAAACAAGAACAGAGGTTGAATGAGGGAAAGCAATAGGATGAATCCAGATGCATGCATGTGAAGAAAACGATCATCTCTCCATTCAACAACACAAAGGATCAAACATCAAGAATTTAATTTTTCACGCTAACCATAATCAACTCAGTGTATTATATGACATCAAGAAGACAAAAGAAGTGTTTTACCCATTAGCATAAGGCAGTTCCTCACGCCTTCTGTAGGGAGGTGGCGATCTACTGTAGCTGCGACCACGAGCAGGAGGAGGTGAAGGGCTACGGCGCCTTGAAGGAGGAGGAGATCTTGCTCGAGGGCTGTAACTCCTGATACCCAAAAAAAAAGGACACACATTCAGACAAACTATAACCAACAAGTTAAGTAATAAAGTCAGTAGCATTGACCTGCGTCCGTAGCTTGGACTCCTTCTGTATCTAGGACTACGACTCCTGCTCCTGCTGCGACGCCTTCCTGCGCCACCACGGTTACGGCATTCACGTGCAAAGTGACCAGGCTCACCACACTCATAACACTTCAAATCAGACCCACCACCACGGCCACCACGATCACCTCCGCGGTCACCACCACGTCCCCCTCCACCACCACCACCACGGTTGTGAGATTGTTCAACCCTCCAACCATTCTTGCCTGTCCATTTAAACAGAACGCATGTCAAAATTCAAACTTCCATAAATAACAAGACTCTGTCACCAAACCTATGTGTTGTTGTCTGAATAAAAACATCAAAGATGTAAGAGAAGAAAGCATAACACATTACCATCTAAATCACGGATAGCGTCACGAGCATCTCTGGGATCCTCGAAGTCTAGAAAAGCGTAGCCAGGTGGTCTACGAGCAACCCAAACACTGCACATACAATCCAACATTACAGACTTTGCAAAATACATTGAAAGCTCAAAACTTTGTATCACAAACGAATAGAAGAGATGCTAGCCTTTTGATGACTCCATAGACACGGAACTCATCCTCGAGCTCACGCTCAGTAACTCTCGGGTCCAAGTTTCCCACGTACACACGCGACATTTATCTGTCAATGCCACAGAGACTTAAGTCATAACTACATTCTAGCAAAAAACAACGGGAAGTAACTTGGTGTCACATACCTAGAGAGAAGAGACTCGAGCAGCTCACAGAGAGGAGAAGGAAGGTAGTTGAGTGAAACTAGGGTTTTTTGAAATTAGGGTTTGTCAACGCTTTTTAACTTTTTTACACGGAGAAGGTAAAGCCCAAATTACAATCCAATTTGGACCCAAGTATGAACCCATTAAGTATTGTGTTTTATTTTCCACCAAAATAAATAAATTACAAAACAGTAACTGTTGACAAAAAATTAAAATAAACAGTAACTTGTATAGCAATCAACAGCTACTACATAAACCTTTTTCTATAATTCTGTTGTAAAGCCAAGCCAGTCTGTGATTCGAATCAATAAAAATAGTGAAAACCACAATCTGCTTGGTTAATGTAAAGCTAAACAATGAATAGAAAGACAAAACAAAAACCAACACACCACTTTGAGCCCGTGCCATAACACAAACTAGCTGCGAAAGATGTAGTAATAACACGTATTAATGCTTAGAAAAAAAATGGAAAGCTATTTGACTCAAGTAAAAAAAATCAGTATAGAGCTTACGAGATTACAAGTTTTGGTTAGATCACGACTGTAGCCAAAAGAGCATGTAATAACGCCCAGTATATCATTATGCCTAACCGTAACGCAGGTTGTCTCATAAGCGTCCGGTCACACGAGACCCTGCAAAGCAATATATACCGTTTTCATCAGACCAAAATTTTACGAATTTCCAGTATAATGATACATCATCAATAAACGGAGAGAGAGCCTAACCATAAACCATCAATCATGTTTGTCACTGGTCTTGTGAATCTAGGGATGATTCTTGACGTGGTGAGTGATCTAAATCCATGAGCTAAACACGCACAAAAGGGTAATGTTATCAAGAGAATGTATAGCCGATCCACTAAAAAAATATATATCGAGGGACAAGTTTAGTTACCTTTATCATCGTCTTCTTCTAAGCTAAGACTTTGATCAGCTTGATCTGCATCTATACTAATGGCGACTTGATCGTTGTTGTTTCCCTTACGCAAACTCCTGACTTGTGATGGGATCGATGTTCCACTCGTTGTCCACTTGTTTATCTGCGATAAACAAAGAAAAAAACAATTTGAAAATGTTATCGCTTTGAGACAGGATCTGGAATGGTGAAATTATCCAACAGGCTCTAATCTTACCAGAGGTTCCACTTCAACAATCTCTGAAGTCGAGCTCCTTGGTTGGGATTCCTTGTCATGTAATAATTTCTCAAGAGTTGCTTCTTTCTGTCTAAGCTCAGCCACTCTACTCCTCTCAGCTTCCAGTAACGAATCCTTGCTTTGTCCAACAAGCCGTAATTCCTCTGTTTCAGATAGTATAGACTCAATCTTTTTCTCAAGCGTCTCCATGTAGCGGTTTAAGTGTCTGTGAGCATCGGTGGAAGATGAATCTTCTAGACCAAGTAGTGATGTTATGGTCTCGAACCAAGACATTACAGTTTGGATCTCTTCTGAATCTCTTCTAGTGTCCATTTGAGAAGCAGTAAGAGCCTCATTGGTGCACCTAGTGACTTCTTGTCTTAAGAAAGAAACCTCCGTATCTCGATCTTGCACTTGTTTTTGAAGCTTCTCGATTTCAGCAAGAAGATTTTCGGAGAGATGGTGGAGCTCGTCGAATTTATCCACAGTAATTGATAGCTTTTTGGAAATCTTCCCACGAGAAGTTTCAGCTTTCTGCAAATCTAGGTTCTTCTGTTGCAGTTCTTGTTCTAGTTCTGTAACCCTGTGTTTCAGTTCCTCCATCTGTGACTCTTCCTCGTCAAGCGCTTGCATTAATGCCTCAATTTCTGCAGCAAGCAATTATGTATTAGCTATATGTGTGAAGATGGGAAAAGAAAAGGTTTAGATTGAATTATTGACCTTGGTCTTTTGCAGCTAGTAGCTTGCTAAGCGATGTGATCTTCTCTTGTGATTCTGAGTGTGAGGCCTGACCTTCTTGCAGCTCTTTTACTCTCTCCTTCAAAGAATCACGTTCCCGCACCAAAACGCCAAGCTGGTCTTGCATGTCACGCATCCTGGCACTTGCAGATTGAAGATCTTCTGCAAAGATCTTAGCACCAGCCTGGGCCTCCTTAACTTGACCCACAAGTTCATTGCACATCCTATCATTCTGGATATCCTTTTCGTGCAACTCCCTTTGCAAATTGGCAATGGTTACCTTCATCTCCTTTTCATTTCTCTCCACAGTCTCGGCGTTTGCTACAAAAAACTCTTTAACAGCTGACGATAGCCTATTTACCATGGACCTGACAGACTCCATGGACGAAAAATCCTCTTCTTCTTGATGGAGGCTCATGCTGAAATTGTCATTTCCGACCAGTTCGGCTTTACGGCTTTCAATTTCCGCCAACACGCTGGAACATGCTCCATGAAGCAAGCCGACTCTTTCACCCAAAGCAGCAATTTCTGAGTCTGTTCCCGTTCCAACTGACTTGAAAAAGGTGTCAATATTGTTGGATACAATGTTGACCTGTTCGTGCCATGATGCCAGGTGGTTGCTTACATTCTCTTCGAGATGGCTAACATCCGCCACAAAATGATCAAGGTTTCGTGAGAGAGAGCCACAAATTTCAGTTATGCTTCCACCATTTGAAATTTCATGCAAGTTGATGTTAGACAAGGAAGCACTCAAGCGTGAAAAGAATTCCTGAGACGAAAGGGGGAAAACAATATTCAGAAACAGTCACTCACAGAAAACCTTGAAATTATATCACTGTTGAAACTTGAAAGGTACCTTGTCTACGAAATTTCCTGTACTAACTTGAGGCCAGCCAGACAAATTAGTACCGGTTTGCTTAGCACATGATTCCATATTTGCCTTCAGATGATGCAGAAACTCCATATCCAGGGTGAAAATATCAGCTAGGCAACTGTTAGTACCTGCGAGTATTTTCCCCAGAGTGGTTAAACTAGTTGCAAAGGACATCACTTGAGCATATATCTTCTTCTTTTCTTCATTGTTGGCCACTGATAAATTTTCCAAATGTGACATGGCTTCAACTTTTGCAGACTCCGCTGCATCCTTCTGTCTGGAAAGTTCCTGAATTTCATAAGTGAATTTTGATAGCTCCTCTTGCATACTATCGTTTCTCTCTTGAACCTCGTTCAACTCAGCAAGTAGCAACTCAGCTGCTCTTCTAGACTTTATTGACTCCTGCTCAGCGGAAGACACAGCTGTACTCATATTCTGAAACAATTGCGAGATCCGTTGAAGCTTCAGAACTGGGTCATATCTGTCACCTTCATCACCAATATTAATGCTATTCAACGCATTCAGTGTCATGCTCAATGTATCACTTCTTTCGTGCAAAATATTTTCTGTTTCTTGCAAATGATTTTTCAACGATTGGCACTCGGACTCTAGGGCTTCTATCCTCAAAGTGTAGGATTCCAATTCCCTTAATTTCTTTTCATTTTCCAAAAGCATTTCGTCTCGGTTAATAATCTCTGATTTAAGGCGACCATGCTCAGCGTTCATCTCCTCAATAGTTTGCTTCAGGCTATCCCTTAGTTGGACCAAAGATTTCCCTTTCCTGACAGCTACGTTTAGCTTCTCTCTTGCAGAAGCTGACTTCTGCTCTTCTTGTTTAAGGAGCTCCTGCAATTCTATTATTTTCTTATCAAGTGCCTCATTTTCAGCAACCAAGGATTGCTGTTTTTCCATGTACAAATCCCTTTCTTCCCTTGCCAGCTTCTGACCATGCAGTGCTTCTTCAAGATCTTTGGTTAGGGAAGCAACATCAGGTGTCTCTACTACTGCTATGTCTCTACTGGTTGCTTCGAGTATATTAGAATCAGTCGTTTCAGGATTGTGCCTAGGAGAAGTTGCCTCGTCATTTGATGGACGAATTTCTGAGAAGCTATCATCTCTTTCGCGTGGCAAACTAGCCAAATTCTTATAATGGTCTATCAGCTTTCTCAGAAGTCCATCCAAGGTCTCCGAATCACTCGCTAAAGCCAAATCCTGCAAGCCATCTTCCTGTATAACATCATTAATCATGTACCTCAAACTCAATAGGACTCCTTCAATAGTCTGAAGTTGTTCTTCATTCCCAAGTTTCTCTACCAATTTTTCGTGCAGATCTTTAACTTGATTCTGCAGTGTCTCATTCTCAACTTCAAGCTGAATGGTCCTCGCAGAAAGATTATCGTGATCCCCATTCAGAGTTTCCAATCTTTCAGAAAGATTGACCCTCTCATTATCAATCGATTGAAGATTTGCCTCGACATCACATACTTGCTTTTGTGCGGCTTCCAAATCAGCACTTAGTGATTGACAATATACTTCAAAGTTGTCAATTTTCTGTTGGAGAGTATCCTTGTCATGTGTAGCTTCTGATATTGTACTTGCAAGCCACTCGATCTTGTTTTCCACTTCCATGGACTTTAGCTGTGGAGGCATATCAATATTCTCAAGGAGTGCTTCCCATCTCTGAACCAAATTATTCCTGTGCATCAAGGACTGCTCCAGCATTTCATTCTGTTCAGCCAAGCCAAAAAACTTCCCCTGGAGCTCCTCGAACTTGATCCTTAAGTCACCCTCAGAACTTGTAACAGTTTGACCATCTTCCCTCCAGGGTTCAGAGAGAACATATCCCGCACCGCCATCAGAACTTTTCTGATCCCAATCAGAGGGACGTGAAGAGTTGCCGTTAGCTGATCTTGATAACCACTCGACCTTGTCGAGTATATCTCGAGCATGAAAATGCTCAGGGAGATCCAAATTTTCCAAAATCTCTTCAATTTTTTGAAGGAGAGAATCTTTAAGAAGAAACGATTCTCGAAGTGCAGTAGCTGAGTTGCGAATGTAAGAAAGCTCAGATTCTAATGCCTCCACACGTTCACCTGCCTCTGCATAAGTCTTAAGTTTTGCTTCCACTTCCTGAAGCCTTGTCTCCTTCAAAATCAATTCCTCTGAGCGCCTCTGCAGTTCAGCAGAGGTTTCAGCCAACGAATGCTTGATATTATCACGTTGAGCCATCAAACCTTTTCCTTTTGTAACAGCTATACTAAGCTTCTCTCTAGTCGATAAAAACCTCTGCTCTGATTGTTCAAGTTCAGTAGATTTCTTTTGCAACTCAGATCGTACAGCCACAAGGGACTCCTCTGCTTCGCTTAAATTTTCCATGAGACCACCAATTTCAGTTTTATGGTGCAGTAAACTCTCCTGGGTCTCCATCAGCTCATTATGCTTGGCCTCTAATTGTTTTCTGAAGAGATTAGCCAAATCATCAGCCTCTATAAACTTCTGAACAAGTTGGGAAACCAGAAACTCCACATATAAACTAGGGGATTCAAAACTACTTCCACCACTTTCAAGTTCTAGAACACCCTCAACTTTCTCAACTAATTCTCGAAGTGAAGTGGGGTCAAGGCTTCGCTGCGTCAGTTCCTCCATATCCTTTGTTATACTCGACAAGTCCGACTGAAGCTTATCAATCACATACTGAAGTTCAAGCCTCTCAGAAAGAATATTTCGCACAGCCTCAATCAGATTCTCACAATTACCATCGGTAAAAGGATCAGAGATAGCTAGATTTTCAACTCTAAGTTTGGTTATCTCCCCAGACCCGCATGATTCAGTAATCAGTTTCGCCAGATCAGTATAGACCTTATGAATTGTAGCAGTCACAAACTCGTTACTCTCATGCTGAGTATTGAAACTCTGCTTCAACTCCTCATATTTGTTTGAGGACGACTCATGCTTCGCATAAGCAACTTCTAGTTTTTCCTCCAGGTCGTTAATCAACTTTACAGCCATGTCAACAGAACCAGATATATGTTTGGTCATATCTAAGCCAACTTGAGCTCCAGTAACGCCAGATCTGAGTAAACAATCATCAAGTCTCACAACTGCATCACCAAATTGAGACATTGATGATGTCAATTCATGTTCTAGCTTCGTCGCCTTCTCAGATTCATCCTGCAAGGCTACTAACTGTTCTTCCATTGACGACAACATGCTACTTAAATTATTCTGTAAGCTTTCCAGCTGATTTTCAAGCTCATAAATTCTCGATAAGCAAGAATTCAGCTTCTTGTTGAGCTCCGTGTTTTCTAGACCCATGCTATCATTTCTCAGCTTCAATGATTCACAGAGAAATTCAAGTTCGTGGTTTCTCTGTTGCAGCTCGCAAGAATAATTTTTCAGAGCTTCAAACGAAACCTTATTCTCAATAGTATCTGCCTCCAGGAGATTAACGTGATCCTGGTGAGATGCAAACTCGACATTAAACTCCTCCAGTCGTTGATTTGTTGCCGTTCTGTCATCATTTAACTGATTGAATTGTATACCAGCCTCCCTAGCATTCAACGCTAACTGATCAAGCAAGCCTCTCAAATTTCTAATCCGAACATCCACAGAAACAAATGCTTCTGACTGATCACCAGTTAACTGTGCTTTTTCAGATTCCTGTTCTTCCGATTGCCCCTTTAACTCAAAAGCCTGAATCAACTTTGACACTGGTGGCGTGTCAGGTTTATTGCTAGACTTGCTCAATGAAGAATCAGTGAGGATCTGCTTAATTGCCTCCTCAAGGTTCTGAATCATTTTCTCTCCCTTCTCCAGATTCTTGTTCAAGGAAGAAAACCCAGATGAAGCGTCTATTACCCCCTCCAAAACTGTAGGCTGTGTCCCGAGACTTGTAACCCCGACTTCTAGACTTCTACCAGATGTTTCAGATATTTCCTGATTAATCAATTCTGAAGCATCCTCATTACCAATGTCTACAATTCCTGTTTTTTCTACCTCGATGCTGCTACTCAGAGATGTTTTTTCTTCAGTCAATTTATCAAGGCGGGCTACAGCTTCTCCTAACTCAGCTGCTAGATGAACCCGCTCTTCTTGTACAGTAGACATACGCTCTTGAAGAATATGAAGATCATGCGTAAGTTTATCATTGTCCTCAACCAAATGTTCCTTCTCCTCTTGAAACTTTAAGAGTTTATTATTCAGCAAAGAATACCCTTCCTTTAGATTGGAATACTCAGACAATAAATAAGTCTCCGAGATCAGATATGCACTCCGTTCTAGATGTGCTTTCTCATTTTCTTCTGTGAGATGCAGTTTTTCCTCTTCAAGTTTAGTCTGCTGGCCTGTCAGTGAAGAAAGCGTCTCCCTTATATTTGAATTTTCCACTTCTTGCAAGCCGATCAAAGTCTTACATTTAGCCAATTCTTCCTGTAACTTCTCTGCCTCACCCAATACTTTATATTTTTCCTCGTCAAGAATTACCTTCTCATCCGTCAGTGGATTCTTGGATTCTTTTTCTTCAAAAAGTTCCTTTTTCTCATCATTCCAAGAAGAAAGAATTGCACCATACGTATCATTCTCCACCTGAAGATTGATGAGCTTTTCTTTGGCCTCAGATAGATCCAATAGGGACTGTTCGAAACTACTCTGCAGCTCATTCATCTTAGCAGTGAAAGCTTCCACTTGTGCTTCTGTAGCAAGAAGCTGATTTTCGAGCTTCTCATTTGAGCTTGTAGCAGCATAGAGGTTAGACTGGCACTCTGATAGTTCCTCAACAAGAGACTCATTCCTCTCTGTTAACGCATTATATGATGCACGAAGCTGTGATATTTCAGCTATCAATTGATTATGTTGATGATCAAACTCGTTTTGTAGATGAGACTGTTCTGTGAGTTGCACATGGAGTAAATCTTTCATGGTACTCGAAACAAACAGTTCTTCTCTTAATCGCTCCAACGAAGTTGTTCCTAGCTCGGCACAGGAAGCAGCCTCTCTTGCGTTGCACAACACTTGAAATTCATCTTGACCAAGTCCCTGTACAATTTCCATAAGCTGTGGGAAGCTAACTGAGCGTCCTTCATGAACATGAGCAGTAGAAACTTCTCCGGATGGATTTAATGTGTCCTTTTTACAAGTTTCCTCATGGCTCAACAATCCAGATATACTAACGCTCTGAGGCAACTGCAGCTGAATAGAGCTATCCTCAGGTTCAGTTGAAAGCACGTGATCTTTGTTATTATGAAAACCAATAGACGACTCTGGTTTCTCTTCACCAAGCTCTGCAGCTTCCCTAATCTCCTGGCTTCCAATTTTACCAGTTATTCCTTCCTGTTCAACTGAATCAAATGCAACTGACGATCCCTCTAAGTGAGACGGCGAAGCAGAAGAATCCACAACGGCTGGATAGCTTGCTTGCCGCTCTTCAATTGCAATCCAATCCACATCTGCCTTTGCAGAAGCTTCAGAAAACTGTTCCTTGTGTGAACCACCGTCTTCCTGCATTTCCCCTAAACAGAAACAAATGAAAACAGAATTATACATCAAAAGGACACATGCCATCGCCCTAACCACTTAATCCCTATCAAAGAAAAAAAGAAAAAAAAAAAGCGAAGCATGAAGAGAAGGAGAGAACAACCTACATCAGTTACCTGATCTCCCCTTGCACCACTCAAGGAAACATCAGGAATAAATTCAGGCAAAGATGATGGCTGATGCGGCTTTTCAACTTCAACTCCTTCCCCCTCCGCTAGGTTTCCAGAAGCAGCAAAGACTCCGTCAACACTATTAAATGCGTCATTTTCAGGATTCAATAAATTTTTTCCCTTCTCAACTCCACTCCCAGAAGTTTCTGCAGTGTTTCCCGGCTGAATCGTATCAGGTTCTGATGATGAACCATGGACTAAAACATACTCCTGAGATAAAGCATCTGCAGAAGCTTGTGGAGAATCAACAACCTCCCCACCAATCTTCACATGAGAACCAGCTCCTCCTGTAACTGCCTCGTCACTAACAGAACTTTTATCAGCCTTCCCCTCATGCTTCTCAGATTTACCAGATTTTTTAGAAGATTTTCCCTGGCTTGTACTTCCCTTGGGATCCTTTTTATCAGCCTTCTTTTGACGAAACTGTTGAAGCTGAAAATTATTTTAAAAAAAACTTACTGATTAACCAAAGGCAAATAACAAGAAATCAAATTTTTATTCCTTCTCAACTATATAGGAAGTGAAACAGTACAATCCTAACTGACATTAACTGATAATAAATGCAATTTCACGCAAAAAAAAAAAAAAGAAGAAGCTAAACTAACCTTTTGGCGTCCAGCAGCAAGTGGATCAGCACGGTTCTTCTTCTTATCCATTAGATCTAATCTCTACTTGTTCTCTAAATCGCCATTACTTTGTACCTTCTGATCACGCAAAAATCCAATTAAAAATAAACTTGCAATTATTATCATACCGCACCGACACAATAGTGGAATCGAATCGTAAAATTCATTTCAAACAACACAAATTAAAAGGTTTGCGAATTAAAAAATAAATTAGAGCTAGATCGTGAGGTAACTAAACCGGAAACGAATCTATAGAAACTCCAAACCGGAAACCATACCCTCGGAGGTGCAAAATCGAGTGGCGTCGTTTGATCTCTGTTAGACAAATTTGATTGAAGACGTTATACGTCGTTATCTCTATCTCTCTCTCTGTCCTTGGATCTGAACGCTATAATGGCGTTTTAGCTGGTGTGTGTCTTTGTTTGTTTTGAAGGAAACAAATCTGTGGAATGGAAAACGCGACGCGATTTCAAACTCAGACGACAGACGTCGATTTGAAGGGAAGATGAGCAGATTCTGCTTGCACGCTACTTCTCAAAATTTGGTAAAAGGATACTTGAATGGGCCTTAAAGCCCAATAAGATACAGTACTTGGTCAGTAAATCCAATAACTAGGTATCAACGGACATACCCTTCTACTTCTTCCATTGTTATAAATGTACCACAGAAGAAAGCTCACTTGTGTGAAATTCCCCTTGGTCCAGTGGTTTGGCTAAAGGTTCATTAATGTTTCTACACCAGCAGGTATGGAATTATGCGAATTAATGGAAAAAAAGCTTATAAGAGATCTGCAGCATGGCACAAGAAGTACCGTTGGCGTGCGTGAATTCTCATAAGACAAGTATAAAATTGTTAATATATCTCGTAGTTTATAATAGCATAATTATCCAGTGTTAAAAAAAAAGCTCACTTGTTCAGACAAACAAATGACCAATGTTTTTAATACTGGACGGAAAACTAAACCGAATAATTATTTAGATCATAGTTCAATATGGTTCGACCGAAAACATGGTTCAATATTCTAGTTTCATATTTTATTTAAATATATAAATTTATAATAAATTAGTAAATATGGTATGTAATTAAAATATAAATAAATATCAAATATAAACATTATAGGTATAAACTATTTTTTGATTGTAGGGTTGATTTATAGAAATTTGATAGTTTAAATGGTTTTATTAAGTTTGAGTTTCAATCATATTACTTGACCGGTTCATGGTTGAACCAATTATTAGATCCAACCCGACTACGTAACCAATCCGGCTACATAACCCGTTCACGGTCAAACCTGGTCCAACCACCAGGTCGGTCCGGTTTTAAAAACAATGCAAATGACAAAGCGTCTAAAAACTTATGTGTCAAATGTTTCACCTCTGTGGATTGGATGTCATGAGGTACCTGATTCATCATCCTGTTTTTATACAAATGATCAAGTGATACTTAGGAATTTTCAGTAACTACAACTAATATAAATGTGACCCGGAAGGCTACTAGTACAAGCTTACATCCTTATACAAACACAATATATTAGTACACAGTCATCGAACCGTAGGGGAATCTCACTAAGAAGAAGCTTTATGTGTATCAGTGTGTGTGTGTGTTGGCTAAACTTCACGCTTAGGACGTTTACGTGTTCGTTGAAGGACAGGTTCTTTAATCAAATCGTCCAGCGAGATTTCACCTTCACCATTCTCTCCTCCTCCTTCTTCTGCTGCTTTTATCGCTTGGTTCATCGCAATCTGCATAAGAAGAAGAATCATATATGCTGTTAGACTTAAAGACCATATAATATGGCTTAAGATCAGACTGGATACAAAAAAGAAAAACATGTTTTGATTCAGCTCATGGACACTATGCATTAGTGATTATTACACTTTACTAAGCAACACTTTTGGCTAGAAAAACACAAGACTTTTATAGCAAGCGGTTTATCACTGTCGGAAATGCTAGGATGTAATAATTATCTTTATTTTCCATTGCTTAAACAAAAATTCAAGAACAATTGTGACAAAAAAAAAACATAAATTCAAGAACAGTTGAACCAATTCGAGCCAGAATTCAAGAACTAGCAAAGACGTATAAGAAACATGTTTTGTGGAAACGGGCGATCTCTACTTACATCCTCAAGGAAATCATCGTCAAGCTTATCAACGATTTTTATCGAAGTAAAGACGGTGGCGGCGATAAGAGTAGCTGGAATAGCGAACGCGAGCAAGTAGCTACTCGTACTCGGCCCTGCTCGCGTCACGACCGAACAGTCTCTGTTTCTCCCGTTAATACATAATCCCCCAGCCCCTCCTAGTATATTTCTCGCCGGCGGCGGAACTAACGGCGATGCAAACGCCGTTAAGGCCGTTTGTGTAGGATGCATAGGGATAGAGACGAAGAGTCTCGCCATGAGATAACAAACGATTGGCAAAGCAAACAACAATGATAATCATATTGGATCGGGTAGATTAAACCCGACCCGAACCAAATGGGTCGACTTGTACAAGCCCATTTAAGTAAAAGAAGATATTGTATAAGTATATTCTTCTTCTTGGTTTATTATATAGAAGAAGATATGAAAGAATATGGAGCATGTTTCATTGATTTGTTTAACAAGAATCAAATCGGTCTACCTGTTACGACTATTGAATCGAAGATTTATTTAATAAGTTTCTGATAATTTAATTAACATATTCAACACGAAAGTCAAGCATATAAACTTTTAAAACTGTCTCTCGTGGCTAATAATTCCATTGGTTTTGTCATGGGATAATATTATACTGTGTATTTCGTTTTCTACGACCACCATGTGCAGCTTCTTGTTTAAACGATAAAGTTAAGGATATAAAGCAAAAACAAAAATATCAACACCAAAACGTTAACATCCATATACGTTGAAAATAATGATAGAAAAACATAGATGGAGAATATAAACAAGTCTACATTGGATTCCACTCTCGTTTCAGCTTCTCTTTTTTTTTTTTTTTTTCCTTATGCCTTTATTTCAAAGTTTATTCTTTTGTTTTATCACAACGGAAACAACATCTTGACCCCAAAAAAAAAACTACAACATGCATACCAAGTAGACAAAGATGCATACATATTTTTCCTCACGGAAAGAACATCTTGATCCAAAAAAAAACTACAAGATGCATACATATTCTCCCTTAACAACATCTTGACCCCAAAAAAAAAACCTACAAGATGCATACCATAGTAGACACTAGACAAGACAATGCATGCATGTATAGAGAATAGTTACAAATAGTAACAATCGACAGCTGGCTGAGCTGGCTGTTCTGTGTTTGATTGTTTATAATCTCATATTTATTTTTTATTTTTTTCCTGACCGAGTACTCTGACCCCATCGAAGTGGTCTAGATTATAGATCGAATCGAGCAAGTACGCTGCTAAAACTTCACCATGTGGCTCACCTATAACGGTTTTCTGTCTCGGGCGCTAGAAAATCAGCATGTAAATTCTCTAATGGTCGGATTTCGAATCCAGGTGGTAGAACCCACAGCCGGAACCCTTTACCACTTAAGCTAAAAACTCTAGTTCTCATAGTTATATTTACGAAATAACATATTTGCTATGTATAATCAAAATGTTGTCATCTAAAGAATGACCAACATAAACAGTGTTGAAACACTATTGACAGTGAGAAATGATGGTTCGCATAAACAAAAGGTGAGAATATTTTAGTCAAAACGTGAACGTTACGATATGCGCCATTTCCTCGAGTGCGTGTTAACTCCGTGTGTATATCATGTGTACAAAGTCAATGTTTATAGAATAAATCGATGTCTATTATCTCTACGTTGACTTACTTTATAAAGTTAGACCGTTGGTCCCTAACTATTGTAGAATCAATTGTTCGATTAGATCTACAATTGTTCGATTAGACGGGTTGCAATCGAATCATTAACAAAATTAGAATGTAAATCATGATATATAGTTTATATATATTGGTAAAATGTTCTGATATTGGAGTTATATATTTCTTTTAATATAGAGGTATATCTTGTTTTAGTCTTTTAAAATTCCCACTAACTTGAGTGTTGAGAATAAAATATGCACCGTTCAATAGGTAGCAATACGAAACTTCGATCCCGTCGTGTAATAATTGATAAGTACCTAAAGATACCAACGAACACGTTTCTTTCACCTGCTCGTTATGAAAACGTGAACAAAATTTGAAAAAATAATAAAAATGGGGATGAATTTCCAATATGTATTGAAAATACTATTATTAGATAACCTGCCGTTCCTGAAATTTAAAAGAAAAAAAATTAAATGATCAGTGATTCCACAAAATATTAAGGATTTATCCTTAAAAATCTTTAAATAAAGATATATTTTTAGTGAATTCTTACATTATTTACGAATTTCCACGACATGTGTCAATCCATGATTAGTTAATATTTTTAATTAAAAAAAACAAAATTAAAAAATCAAAAATTAAAGATTCCAATGGATATTACTGTTGTGGGTGCTCTTAGATATTTGTAAAAGACAACAGGATATGTGAGCTTTAATTGACGTTGAGGATACCCTTGTATTGATGATATCGTGACTGATACCGTAATAGTGATACGTCAGGCATATACGTGAGAAGCCATCGGTGTGCCAAACTTACCGGTATTAAGAGATATGCATGGTTTATGACTTAAAGTGGTGGAGTTATAAACTCTAGCTAATCTTACTGTTTATATATATAAAAAAATAAGAAGCCGGCAGATCAAGAGGTGTTATTCTTACTATGCGTTTGTAATGCTGCCATGTAAAAGTTTTTGCAGTTAGATCTATATGTATAAAGTTATATGAAAGTTCAATATCATTAATATCTTATAAAATGGCGAGAGATCATCGATGACGTATTCTTGCGTTGCAATATAACTACATAGATGATATACGTGCACGACAATAACAATACAACATGTCAGGTCAACTACCCCATGTTGTAATTTAGTCGTTGACAAAAAAATGGTGTATTAAATAAGAACTCATGGTTTGTTATGCGTCAATACACGTTATTAAATGCACACACAACACGTTCGGTTGTTCACATAGCTAATCGTATAGTTTTCTTAACCGGTAGTCTACCTATTACCTGAAAATACGGAGTAGAGAACATAGACGCATTCACAAACAACTCGACCTTATGAAATTAGCAAATACAATAAACATTAAAACATGTAAGATGATAAATATGATAAAGGTTGAAACAATGATATATGTTCACAAACAATGATATACTAGATTTTGACCCGCGCTTAAGAAGCGCGGGTTTTTTTTTGTTAACCGTAAAGCCTAATATTTTGGAATAGATATTTTGATTGGTTTTGATGGTGTTTTTAAATTTGATTGAGTTGATGGTAAAAGGGGTTCGAGATACCTTGTATTTATAAAATGAGAGGGTTGTTGTTTTATTATTTTATTTCAGTCTTGTAAAATTAAAAAAATGAATATGGTAAAAAGATCTTAAAATCAAAAGATTGTTATTAACCCATTGAGAAGCGTGGATCTATTTTTTGATTATGCACAAATGGGTACTTAATTTTTTAAATTAAAAAAAATAAACGAAATTAAATTAAACCAAATTTCATAAATAATCGATCATACCATATATCTCTAGAATCTAAAAATAGAAATCAAACTGAGAAACCAAATAGGTATTTAAATATTTTTTATATAAATTATATACCTAAAAATATTAATTATATATAATATCTAAACATTAAATAACCTAAAATACTATT